AAAGCTTTAATAATCTGAAAGTTTTTTTAATCCTCTCAGAACGTGGTTCTTAAACTCATTCAGATCATGTTCATAGCTCCTGAGAAACACTAAAAAATACCTACTTCTATATAAGATGAAGGTCATAGTCATTATTTTAATTTTATTCTCAGTAACAAGTTTGGCTTCCATCAGTTAAAAAATAAAATCTAATGATTCAAACATGCTATTCTTGATTTTGAGTCTGTTTTGTGGCACTTCATTTTGAAACATCCCCCTGCCCTTCAGAGTGCAAAACGCCAAATTTCCCACTGCCAGAAACAGTTTGGTTCCAGTGTAGATTACATGTAATTAGCCATGTTTACAGCTGCAATAAAATGTGTCTTGAGTGATCCGATGACAAGTAGACAGCTCCTAGTATGTAATTTGTCAGCCGGTTCCAAAGAGCTTTCCTAGTGTCTGCTTTTGATTGTCTGTTGCTTCTTTGTTTTATATGTTAATGTGTGCAAAACAGTCTGTTGTCAACTGCCATCAACAAGTATGACAAAAAAGTCTTTTAGTCTTTATGGAAAGGTCTGATTTTAAATGTGTGATCCGCTTGCGTCACAGAAGTATTGTTAACAGCTACATACGCTATGAGAGAATAAAAGAAGCACACAACATGACATTGATTTTTACTGCGAAGATCTCTGTGTGAGCTGTCGTCAACAAAACATACAGCATCTCACCTTGTCTCCAGACTTAGTCTTTCAAATAGCTTGATTTATTGAGATTTTTTGTGGTAATACAAAAAAAAAATGCCACGTATAAGTTGTTGCAAATGTTTTCATTGTCTGTGATGTTCTTTATAATTTGTTGCCTTAGACCTACCAAAGGTATTGTATTTGGGATATTTTTTACTTTACATGATTAAAAACAGAACCATCTATCTGTATGCACTAATTATTATTTTTAGTTTGAAACAAACAAAAAAAACCTAAAACTTTTTTATTTTATTTAACCTTTATTTAACCAGGTAGATTTCATTGATATTAAAAATCTCTTTTACAAAAGAGACCAAAATATCCTGAGCAATAAGCATACATTACCTTTTTTTAATTTATTCATTTCATTAAAAATAAAATAACTATATACAATAGAAACTAATAAAATACACGAATCAAAAAATCAAAATAAAATGAAAGGTAGCAGAAGAAGAATAAATCTTATAATGTCTGCCCCTTTTATCCCCAACATATATTCAAAGAAAAGATACTTTACATAACAATACTAAATAAAAATAAAAATTAAGATAAAAACATCAACTCAAACAACAATTCATATAGCTTCGCATTTTGCTCTTTCATATGCCTTCAGAAAACTAGCTTTTATACAGAATGTCTCTTAAATACATAACTTCTCCCTTCTCCCAGTCTCAAAACCCTCAAAGACTCAAACAAGTTTTTTTTTCACGATATTTTTTTTGCTTTGCTCCATCCATCTTTCCCTCAGTTTTTTATTTTATTTATTTATTTATTTATTTATTTATTTATTTATTTACTTTGGGGGGGGGACTTACCCACACTTTTTTTTCAGTAATAACAAACCTGATGGATGGTGCTCTGTGGAACATTCAGGGTTTGAAGAGTACAGATAAGTGTTAGGCTATAAGACTATCCCACACTGTTATCACTTGTGGAGAGTTCTTGGTCTTCATGCTGTCTCATATCTTTAATACTTAAAACTGCCTGATGTCATGTGACCCAGTGATACAAAACGAATGTTAAATTGTTCTACTAAACAGGACAGATGGTGCACACTTATTTCTATCTCATTTTAAGGCCTTTTCTATAAAAGAAAAATAAAAAATGCTAAATTGTTTATTCTTCAGTCATTTTTAAGTCATGTTGCTCCAGTGTCCTGGTTTTAAAACAAATTAAATAAAGCAGCACATCTAGAGCTCTTTCTTAATCTCTTGTTTAATGTTAACTTGTTCATATAATATTTACTCAGAAGTTTTCATACATTTGGTGGTGATTTTCTTTTTCTACTTGATTATCTAAATGACATTTGAGACATTGGGCCTCATGCAAGAACCGTTCGTATTCTTATCCTAAATTTCTCTTACTTTTGTTCGTACAAAGGGTTCGTAAGAACATGTCATGTCAGATCCAACAAACTCTTCTATCTTCAGGAAAAGGGTGTAAATCAGCTGCGTAAATTCCACCTGTTCGTATCCAGCTGCTCGTGCACGHGAGAGGAGATTAGCATAATTACCACTCCAAAAACACCATATCAGGCTATGTTTCCTGCCTCAGATCACAAGTGTTCATTCATGAAAATGACAGCGAAAACTAAAAAGAAGAACTTTACGAGTTCAGAGATTGAAGTCCTGCTGTCAGAGATCCAGAAAAGAAAATCTGTTGTTTTTAGCAGGTCAGCTGTGGAATAAAAAGAGCTGCTAAAAGTATAAACAACTGTGTTAAATCATTTTCATTTATTCAGAAGACACAGCGCTGCGCACCGTACAAAAAAAATCTTAGAATACGAAAACATTGGTGAATGCCACAAATTCTCCTAAATCACTCGTACGCACAACTTAAGAACAAATCTGTGCGTACGAACGGTTCTTGCATGAGGCCCATTGTTCTTCTTACTTTACCACAAGCTGTGGGTTGTAGATGGAACAATATAAAGGAAACAGTAAATATGTGCAAAGTTTTGTCACACACACCCTTTATTTAATACATAATAAAAAAATCTTTCAAATTGTCGTCAAACTGCAGATTTTGGACTCTTCAAACATGCTTACAGCCTTGTCCAAATGCCAGGAAAATGCATTACTGATGTTCTAGCATATCAACTTTTCTCTGGGAGAGGACCCCCCACTCCCTGCCTTGTTAAACTGCTTTGTGCCCCTTTGGCTAGGTACTCGACCTATAAATGTTCAGCCCCCAACTGTTAGCCTCCTACTACTTTGAACCCTCTGAGTACCCAGAGAAAAACACAAGTGTAGCCTGCAAACTCCATACTGAAAGACCCCAGGTCCAAACCGGGGATTGAATCCCGGACCTTCTTGTTGTGAAACAACCGTACTAACCACTAATCTACCATGCTGCCGCAGAGTTAATGGGGCTGCAATATAAGAAGCCTTCACTGACAGGGTTTATCTCACAGGGAAGGAAATAGCATCATTGTAGCTTTCATCCTATTCATTATTTTATCATTAGTTTTAAACAACGCCTTCTTGCCCCCTGCAGTCACACTAATTGTATTTTAATGGTCAGCTTGAACAAACAGTTTGAAAGATGCAAGAAAGTATGAACACAAACTAAAATTATTATTATTTTATTTAAATATTGATGTTCAGATTCTCTCATTTCTTTCTTGTTGAGAAATACATTTTTCATGAACAAGGACCATCAAAAGAAGAGTTCATGTTCTGAGCGTTATCCCAGCATTCAGACCAACCCTATATTTTATGTATGAAGTTTTTTCTTTCTGCAGAATAATTGTTAATGCATTGGAACCCTGGCCAGTGACAGAGTGGCCTTCTGTTCTTCTGTCATTTCTCTCCTCATAAATCAGCAGCTTGACAGAGAATACGCTGCATTCTGAAATTTCACTGATGCTTTCAAGTTTTTTCCCCCCTTTTTTATGTTTCACTAACTTATATTCATTCTTTTTTCTGAAAGTTTCACAGCTCTGTACAACAACAAATTGAAAACTGGATTTGTGATCATATTGCATGCAAAATATTGTTTTAATACCTTGTTATTGCCAGAGGTCTATAAAATACTTGAAAAAATAACTAAGTAAATATAAAAATACCTTTAACAGAAAATGACTTTGGTAAAAATAAATTTCATTGATGAGAAAAATAAGTAAAAGTCATAAAACTGTTCATAAAAATTGAGAAAGTAAAAGTTAAAGTATTTTTACACACTCTCTAAGAAAAAAACTGTAGAATTTACTGAACCCCTTAACAGTCTTTGTTCCACCGGTGGGCAAAAACGGTACAGTTTCTGCCTTTAAACATTTTCAGACGCTACCGGGGGCTTTTATTTTGTGGACAAACGTGCCAGACAACTTCCTCCATTTCTTACCTTTAGTTTGACACCCTTAAAAAATGTCAAAAGGCTTTTAAGGAATTTCAGGGGTGTCTGTTAAACCAACTGGTTTCACTAAACCAAGTGTAGTGAAGTCTTGCCTCATACTCTACTAGGTTTAGTGAAACCAGCTGACTTGACTTGATTGAGTAAATTCAACATTTCAGTTTTTTAGAGTGAATAAACAACTCCTTTCATGATGAGTTTGGTCATATTTAATTTTGTTAAGCGTAACTAGGTGCTAAATTTTAAAGTAAAGAAGTAAAAGTATCAATTTTAGGTAACAAAATAAAAGTAAAAGTAACAATTTTAAAAAAATACTTGGTGAAATTACAAATCCTCAAAAAAATTACTTAAGTACTGTAGCTAAGTAAATGTAAACCTCTGGTTATTGCCCACCAACAAAGGCAAATGTTGTAAAATTTCCCTGCATGTGTCTGTGTGTAGCATTAGCAGAACATTTCATAAACCCCTGGGCAGATTTTTAGTTAACTTTCAGAAATGAATAGAAGAAATGATCAACTTTTAGAGTCAGTGAAAACTGGTTGCCACAATTCAGTCAGACTGACTGATACTGAGCTAATTTTGATGTTGTTGTAACTGAGAGTCATCCTCAACTCTTAGTTCAAGCAATAAAAAATCTAATTAAAATACATGAAATCTGAGTTAGAACTCTGTTTCTTCTCAACGTAAGATGGTGTTGGTTTCAAACTCTAGCATGAAACGCAGCAAGTAAAACACATTCCTTCAATGCTTTTGTTTGTTTCTCTGAAAAACAGCTTTCATATCTAATTATCTGTATGAGTGATAATTTTATTGTTGGTGCTGAATACTTTTACCATCATTTAAACCAGCCTCGGTTGGTAAATGTACTGAAAATACAGATAACATGGAGAATATCCGTGATAGCGTCTCCTGTTTTGTTATTTTCAGGTGGAGGGAGCAGCTTATACTGGTTCATTTGTATGGAAATCTCAGAGTATTGGTATGTGGAACCGTGGTAGAGGAGAGAACATGTTGGACAGCGGAGCCCCCTTCTACGATACCTATGAGACTTTAGATGGACAGTACATGGCTGTGGGCGCCATTGAACCACAGTTCTACAAACAGCTGCTTAAAGGTTTGTAGCCTGTTCGGTACTTAAAATCACAACTATTGTCTTGGTTTTCAAAGAGAGACTTACACTGTAATATTTTAAAGTGGTCTTGATTGCTGTTTCTTTGGACTTGCTGAAGGTTTTTAAAAGTTTTATTTTATTATTTAATTTAATTTTTTATCTTCAGATGATTTTTTTTACTACTTAACCATGGCAGTCTTTTGTTTGAAGTGTGATTAAATAAATAAAGGAAGTGGATAAAATGACGAACAAAAGAACTGTGAAGCCTTGAAAAACTGTTGACAGCAGAGGAAGAGATTCTTGAAGCCATATCTTGAAGAAACAGGTAAAACTGCAGCAAAGACCTGACGCATGAGCTGAGAGATGAATCATTCAGTTAACCGCCTTTTACAGTGGTTCCCAAATGGTTCAACTTTTGGCCCTCACAAAAATAGCATCTGACATTTGTAACTCCATCTATCTATAGGTAAAGTTTAAAAGCATTGATGGTAAGCAATGCTTGTTACTTATGCTATTTTGTTTGTATTTATGACTACTGTTTTTCTCTCTTATAACAGATATGATAAAAATGAGTATAAGCAGTAATTAAAAATATATATAATTTGAGATCTATTAATCCTAAGTTCCTCAAATGTTTTCTACAGTCCTGTAGGGTCTCAATTCCAATGTTGGGAACTATTGATCAACGTTGTTACGTTTTTTTTAGCTAATTGCTCTTTAAGAATTATCTTATATGTTCTAAAATACTATTGTTCTTTTTGTGAAACTCTCTTCTTGGCAGTAGATTTAATGAAAAAAATGGAAACAAATTGTGTTTTTGTGACAGGCCGCTAGTTACAAAATGCTAAAAGCTCAAATTTAAAATGGATACTTAACCATAACAGCATTGGTTTTTTTCACTTGAGTTCAGGGAATGTTTATGGATTAAATGATTCACAGGCTAGAGTTAAGTGGCTCAACAAGCAGAAAAACAAAAATCTTCTGAAATTAGAACTGGACTGTTGGCCGAGAAATTAGCAAATGCAAATCACAGAACCACGCATTCAAACACTCGCACTAAAGGGCAATTTCGAAACACCAGTTGACTTAACGCGCCTGTTTTGAGGCTGTGCTGAAGAACCAGAGAAAGCCCACGCAGGCACAGGAGGAGCATCCAAACTTCACACTCAAAGGTCCAAACAGAGTTTAAAATCTACAACCTTCTTACTGTGAGGCAAATTTTGACCTATATCCCTGAACACACTACAGAGTTTCTCTTCACTGGCACAAAATTTAGTTTGTTTTGACAGTTTCTTCACTATTTTTAACTCTAGTTTTTCTCTCCCTTCAGGTTAAGAGTTTTGATGTCCTCCTCAAAAGCACTCTTATTTCAAGCACACATACACACACAAAAAGATTCAGTCTGCATATTTCCATCTCTGTCACATCATCTGCCTCTGCTCACCCCTCACACCAAACAATACAGCTGTTCTGCCCCATACATTCACATCTGGACTACTGTAACACCCTTCTCTTTGGTTGTTTCGTGATAGTTGGTTCAGATCTTTGCTGCATGCATTATAACTAGAAACCCCCTCATTAGCAGCCTCTGTGGTGACCTCTTAAATTTTGCACTGATTATAAAATTCTGCTTGTCATATTTTAGGCCCTTCATAGTCTCTCTCTTCAGTAACTCTCTGATCCTTTTCACATCACCGCACCCACCTGTACACTTAGGGCTTTATTTTTCATTAATCTTTCTGCTCCTCGTGTCCATCTGATCAAGATGAGGGCTCGAGCATTCAGCCGCTTCCCTCATCTTGAATTTCTCCTGACACCCAAAACTTAATTTTTTTCTTCTTCTTTTTCCCAGTTCTGCCTGAAAACACACCTAGTCTACTTTTATTGGCTTGATTTAATATATTTCTTTATCTCTGAATGCTTTGTTTTTGTTATAGTACTTTAATTTTATATTTCTCCTTAATGTGTCTGGGGTATTTTCAAAGACACCTGTTATGTTGTTGTTATTAATAATAATAATATTATTATTATTATTATGGACAACTCAGTAAAAAGTTGCAGAAGACCAATATGCTTTGTGAAACATAAGGTTTTTTCGTAATCACCTAACTATTTCTACTAAAACAAAAAAATTCTTTAGTGATCTCTACTTTCAGATTTCTTTTTCCACATTTCTGCGTTTTACATCATTTTCCAAATTATTTATGTTTTCTTCTTCCTTTTTTGTTCTCCCCTCCCAGGCTTAGAGCTGGACGCTGGAGAGTTGCCTCCTCAGTTGAGCGTCAGTGATTGGCCAAAGCTGAGACGGATCTTCACAGAGCGCTTCGCCTCAAAGACCCAGGCGGACTGGTCAAGGATTTTTGATGGGACCGATGCCTGCGTCACACCTGTGTTGTCTTTCGACCAGGTGAGCTCACACCCTCACAACCAGGAGAGATGCTCTTTCATGAAGAGCTCCAGCGGAGAAGAGTTCCCCCGGCCGGCTCCGGTTCTGTCTCGGACTCCCGCCGAGCCTTGCCTCACTTCCGATCCTGTTGTCGGCGAACACACCATCGAGGTCCTGCAGGAATACGGCTTTACTTCAGCAGACATAGACAAGATGATATCGAGCAAAGTTGTAGAGTGTAATGCTGCCAAGGCCAATCTATAAAAAAATGAAATACATCAATGTGAATGAGGGACAAACTTCACTAAATTACGGATAAATGCAGTGCCTGTTTTAGTTATTTCATGAAATTAACTTTCTAGTAATTTGTTTTTATTACAAGAATCTAAGGAAAGTAGAAAGTGTTTCTTTTTTTTTCTCTTGAAATAGAAAGTCGTATTGAAAAACATCAAATTCTTCTTCATCTGATACATTTATATCCATTCTGTTGGAAAACACTTCTACTTCTTTATGACGCATAAAAACATAATTCAGCCATGTTTTATTGCCTTCTCTGCCTTCTGTGTTACTGTGGAAGACGTTTAATACCACCTGGCTACTCTTTAATTCACACTAACCTAATGGCTACTAAATTATGAAAACATGCGAAAAGAGACTTGTGAATACAAGCTGAAAGATCATCTAGCATCACAAACACAAGTAAACTGACTCATTGTTGAGTCTTATCGCTTGTCGTCTTGATGCCTCAAGGATCTTGGTATTACCTTGGCAGTTTTATTGTCGTTTGAATAACCAATCAGCAACATGTTAGACATGAAAACTTAAATTGAATAATTTAAAAATATGCAAAGAATGTGGTTTTTCAGTGCTTTTGTATGGAGTTTCAGTCGAAATCAACAGACCTGCAGCAGCACACTTTGTAGATTCATAAACTAAAGTTTTAAAATCATCTAAACATCTGCTTTTTGTAAAATAAATAAATAAATATCCAAGAGTTGGTTAATTGTTAATAAAGTTATTTGTTCATATTTTTTTTCTGAGTTATTTTTTCTCCAAATGATATAAACTGGATAAATTCAGTAGATTTTGCTTTAAACTAACTTTAGGCAGTATGAAGATACTGTGGTGTACATCGTTATTAAAATATGGTGTTTGTATTTAAGAACTAGAAGCACTCGGAGAGTGCAAACCTCTGCCAAGACCAATTTCCCCCATCCTGTAATAGAGTTACAAAGAGGCACACCAATACTACAGTGCCACCTGCTGGACACTTTGAAACTTATGCCCTGTGAAAGCATCACAGCTTTGCCGAGGTCAGAGTGTTAAAAGAAAAATAATTCCTCTATCCACATCATGATCCGGAACATCACCAAAATTTAACGGTGCGTTCCTTGGCCCAGTATCCATATTTGTTAAAAATTTCATGACGATCCGTCCACAAGTTTTTGAGTAATGTTGTCCACAGACAGAACGGCAGACAGACAGACATACGCGACCGAAAACATTACCTCGCCCTTGGCAGAGGTAATTATGGCGATATTAATCACATGTGGTGATGCCATATTTCCACAAGGCCACAATGAAAACTTGCCTATAAACATTCTAGATTCCCCATAACGTTACTGATGCTTGTTCTGACCGCCTCGGTCCTTTTTAAAAACAAATTGGGGAGGGGGGTAGTACTGACTAACAGCTTCGAGGACCACTCTGCTGTGGATTTCAAGTCGAACCCCCATAGCTTGACTCCTTTCGCATTTAAACTTTTGGGTTTGTAATTTTTTTTATTTGGGACTTGTGAGTTTCTTGCTGCAGAGGAGGAAGTAAATACAAACTTTATCGGCAAAAAGACTGTTTGAAAGTATGCAGCAGGGCAGATACAACCGAGTCAGATTATTCTGAAACTTGAAACACTAAAAATGACGAAGGCTACCTTGATGTATCTGTGTCACATATGAAAAGCCATTCTGCGACTCATGCTGCTCTCATCAGCAGATTGAGTGACAGCAACACGTCTGAGCAGTTGTCTCTTGATCCCGCACTGATTAATATTCTCTGAAAGCATGAGCGCAGTAACAGAACGACTCAGTCTGTGATTTCTGAACTGCCAGAGTCAACACATTATGGGCTGTTTGGCCATTTAGCAGTACTGTCTTCTGAAAGAGCCTTCTACGGAGTCATAAAAGAGCAGTGAATGTTGCATTTCGGATCATCATGTAAATGCTCAAAAAAAAAATCACATTTGTCCAACAACTAACTGCACTTTCTGGCTTTAAAATGTCAATTTCTAAACATGTAAATGCTCACAAGCTTTTTTATTCTCCATTAATTATTAGTTACTCAACACACCACAGAGTGAGGTAATATAATACCTCGCTCTGTGGTGTATTCAGTAATAATATGTTGTATAATATACGTGGTGTGCTAAAAAAAGACTATTCACATGGAATGGAAAATTAATTTTGCTCATTATAACCAAAGTGATTTAGATTTGAAGATTTTATGATCCCAGTAGAGCCGTGTTCATCAAGTGTTTGAACTTTTTGTGGATCTAAATATTTTTACTTTATTCACTCATTGTAATTTTCACCATCAGTAGTTTTCTTCTTTTCATTGGTTTTGACTGATGACTATTTTAACTGACTATTTCTCTAGCTCTGAGTATTAATGAGCTGCTAATCGATTTTTCATATTTTCTATGATGTAAGACCAGGAACTTGAAATTGTCAAAATAAAATCAACAAATTTGTAAATGTAGCTCTGTTTGAAGGTTGATAACACAGCCATCACCTTTGGCTTCACCTAAATCAGGTAAATGTATTTTAGTTTTGTTTTATAGCAAAAGCGAAATACTCCAGTTAATACAATATTTCACATCATGTTAGTGGCCACTTTAAAAGATAAAAATGAAACAACTTCTATTTATGTTTTTTTTTCTGATGAAAAGCAAAACAACATTGGTAACGAGAAGAAAAACATTAAAGAGAAGAGTAAGAGTAATAATTCACAGAAAGAAATGCTAAACAACATGGTTAAGTGTCCTCAGTATAACTTTTGTGCTTTTCAAGCTGAGATGTTCAGTGTTGGAGCCTTGCTCAGGTCAGCCACAACAATACAACCACTAAAAAATAAAGTAAACAACGCCAATTGCCTTGTTATGGTAGCAGTAATTTGAAAAAGTAAAAAAAAAGTACTCTAAGATTTGTGTTACTTTGACAAAATTGCATCTTGACATAAGGGTTTTAGAATATCTTTGGGATATTCGAGGCTTCTCCAGCAGCCTTCGCTTACTAAACCTGGTCCAAACAAGACAGACTGATGATCCAACGTCAGCGGAAAAACGATTGTGTTTTCTGATGTAATCAAAGAAGTGTTGTAGCTGAAATTGGTGACAAAGCTTATGCTGGTTTCTTCAGAAAGGTGTCAACAAACATTGAATCACTTTGGTTGTGGACAGGGCTGATAGGATCTCACACTCTAAGCTTCACAACTGGACCACAGAGCAACAGATAAAGGTGGTCTGGTCTGATGAACAGCCAATTGTGTGGCTCTTGCATATCTTATCATCTGCCTACACATGAGGGCTGACTACTCTTCTACAAAATGGATATTTTCTGCTATCATTTGGCCTCTAATAGCACAGTTATGGACTTTAACAGATTAAAAAAATAGCTGAGAAATGGTTTTAGTTACAAAGTAAAGTGTTTTAGGTGCTAGCTTGGCTTGCAAGTTGTCCAGATCTCCATTTGGTCAGGTATCTGGGAGATCCAGTATCAATGGTAGATCGTTGAGTACCAAGTTGGACGAACTCCAAGCTCAAACAACAAGAACCCAGCCAGAGTATTGAGAATGCAGTATTATGTGTTTCACTGAGACATGCAGCAGGATTTTATCCCTGACTCCAGCGTCTCCCTGCCAGGCTTTCTGACCATACGATGGAGAACCCTGAGAAGCCTCTTCATCAGACTGTCTTCAGTCAAGTCTTCATCAGATCCATTGTAAGACGGACCGGAGATCCTTCCTGCCCACAGCCATCAGTATCTGTAATAACTTTTTAACCAGGATAATATGAGTTACAACAACACTGAATTTCCCTTTTGGATTAACAAAGTATTATTGAATTGAATTGATTTGAATCTGAATGTATCATTCATCCTCTCGTTGCTGCATCTGAGCACTGCTAACAAACAATAACTGAGCTCTAAGTTGTATTTTGTGCATAGAAACAGTTGTTATAGTTGCTTACATTTTCCAACAGGGAATTCCCACTGGAAGGGGCATTCCAGTTCAAATTTACGACTTTCAAGTGGGAAATTACGACTTCCAGTACAACTAGGTTGCATCAAAAGTGCAGCAAAATGGAGTTTTTACGCAGCAAATTTCTACTTGGGATGCCATCATTTCCCAGGTAAAATAATCAAAGTGCATTATGGGAAATGTAATTTAAGGTAATTTCTGGCTTTAAAGAACCATACACTTATTTTAAAACATTATTACATCTTTGAAGCTCTTGCAGACCACATAAAATGCTGTGGCAGGCCACATTTGACCCGTGGGCCATGCGTTTGACATATGTGGCTTAAATTAATGTGTGTTTGTGTCTGATACAACAGCAGACTTTCAAAGGTTTAATAGAGTTATAAAGATCATCTCATGGCCAATGTGTGTATTTTTTGCAGCTTCTGCAACAGAAAGGATTTTCTTCTATCATCATCTAAAGTCTTCTTAATTGTATTTTTGTTACATGCTTTCACAGGTCCATTTAAAGATTCAGAGAAGCAATTTGCTTTGGTAAGACTTGAGAGAAAAGTCTCTGAGCTCACCCATGTAGTGTACTATAATTTCCATTTTATAATCCTTTCTAAATAAATATGATGGCAAAAAAATGCTACTTTTTAATTTTTTTATTACTTGGTGTCATCAGCTGCATGTTTTGCTCATTTGAACTAGATTTTTGAATAGACGAGAATTGCTGCCCATCCCTATTACAGGCTGAGTTCTGAAATATGGAAACGTTTATAAGGTCAGTTCATCAAAACTTTATACAGAAAAATAAAAACTAAAAATGTTCAGCGAAGTCATAACGTCAGAAACCTAGCTTTTCTTATTTTCTACAAGAATTTGATACATCTGTTACTCAGATGTACCAAAGTAAGCTGAATGTGTGTTGCTGAAATCAGAGGAAATGGAATCTCAGGAAAAGTGAGCGGAAGCATTTCTTTTCTGAGACAGTGTGACCATTATAGCAAGTTTCTACTGAAGAGAAAAAGGGTGCTATTTTCTGCATGAGAAGATTAATTTCCAGCCCCTCAGGGGACACACGTGTGTCAATTTCCCAACCTGATCATGGGCTATCTTCTTGTCACTAAGCAACCTGTGGATGCAACGCTACACAACAGCAGCCTTCTCACTTCATATTGAGAAAACACACAATTTGCCCTTTCCCTGTCTTACTGAGCTACACGGCCTGGTATTTTGCACTTCTCAACCATCTGTCTTCCACTGTTATTACAGAATGTCTTTACTGCACTACAGGACTTTAAAGCACACAGGTATGTGAGGAATGTTGTGATTCCAGACATCTGACTTTCACCACGTGAGGCCAAACACAGAACCGCTGACCACGAAGCCATGAGATCAACTTCAAATAGAGTTCAGTTTAAAAGAAAGAGCAAATGTTTCAGATCTGCTTTCCTAAAGAATAACAAAATTAGTTGAATTACATGATGTAAACATGAGGGGAAAAATCAATTCACCTATTTTAGTCAAGTTACTTTTTTAATTCGTTTTATCACCGGAGAGTTTCCAGCAGTGGCTGCATGCTCAGGAATAGCTCTGACTGATCAAACACTCTCCAGACGCTGCAGTAATAAAAAAAAAAAACCTCAGCCTGAACTTGCCAGCTGATTAAATTTTCAATTTTATTTTCAGAAATGAGCTTTCGAGCGTGTAAAGTATCTTCACCTTTGGAAGCATACGGCCTGGTATTCTTTTA